GAAGTCCTACGAATCAATTCAAACTAAGAAATTATCATTTTGGTATTATGTTTACTTTAAACGGAAGCGATGTGTAGATCTTTTTCAAGAGTTGGTATTACAAATTAAATTGTATTCTACTGTCTTATGCATCAGAATATACACAAATGTAAAAGGAATCCAATGACATTTGTCAGGGCCTATTTGTAGCCATTGAGCCAGAATGGGTCTTAAGCAATTATTCATTCAGAAACATTATCAGATGCCTATAGCTTAAATTGATAGTACTTACTGCCACAATTTTTCTTATGATTAATTTCTGTTATTTGTCCTGATAAAGAAGTCATTGACCAGGATCTCATATTCAATCCATATATATCAAACATTCGATGTCACGTTTGTCATGCTACATTTATTACCTAAGAAGTTGTTGACCCCAGGGGTTTTCCTAATTTGACTCCACAAGCCCCAAATACTTTTAAATCATAGATATTTTGGGCATGTGCTGTTATTTTCAAGTAATTGTTAGTGTGTGAAATTAATAAAATAAAAACATCCAAAAAACAAAAACAGTTTTTCAGAACTCTTATACTAAGTACTTGAGTGTACATGGACTTTGTTACAGATCAAGATAGAGTCTTACAGAAGCTATCAGGCAAGAGGCTTTCTTCTAACAAATAATAGAAGAACAAGTCGAATGAATAATTAATAGAACTATTGATTGCTTTTAATATGATAGATACTTCAAGTCCATGTATTAACAGTTCCTGGGCATATTAAGGGATTAATTTAATGCTTCTCTTCATATCATATGAAGTTCATACACGGAAGATTGTGATTAGTACGAGAATAACAAGGTTTAATAGATAAGTGCTTTTTATGGACTTCACATATGGGGTATAAGGAATTTAGAGCAGATTTTTAAGCATATAATTAACACATAATGTATTCTTTTATCATATGACATTTTCTCTAATATTCACTCCCTTATTAGACATTGGCTCAAGATGGAGCACCTCTGTGTACTCTCATCATCATGGTAAATTCCCGGGGGGTTCACTATATATAAACCTTGACGGGGATCCTCGGCGCATGTGGGGTACCTTTTTCAACGTTTGGTATGGCAATGGACCCATATTTTAGGATTTGGTATGGGAATGCCCGGAAATATCTGACTTCTGAGGTATGGCAATGGTCGGACTAAATTGCTCTTCTGGTATGAGAATGGTCGTTGTAGATACGTTACCTAACAATCGTGGTATGGCATTGGTCCAGTAGTTGCAAATTTGAAGTTGTTTTGGATCGTTTCCCGAAGTATCTCCTTTTCCAGGGCCTTCTTCAACTTTTGAATTTTAGCCCTTTTCCCGGGAAATGAGGACCAATCATAGGCTTTGATGAAGTCTCACGAGATTTTTCGTGATTTCAACACAAAAATTAAAATTGAAAATCAACATTTTCAAATCGTTTAAATAATACACGTTTTTGCACATTTGTATGACATTGATCCTATATTTCATTTACTTTGAATTATTAAGGTATGGCATTGGTCCCCTATTTGGACATTTGGTATGGCATTGGTCCTACATTTTGACATTTGGTATGGCATTGGTCCCATAATTGGACATTTGGTATGGCCTTTTGGCGTTATTTTGGTTGGTATGGGAACATATTGAAATTTGACAGATTGGTATGGGAACATATTGATATTTGAGGCTTCAGCCTAGGACCCCCGTCGAGTTTTATATACAGTGAACCCCCGGGGGTAAATTCTACCCAACCCCTACCCATTTTTACTAATTCTTCATCATCATTGAAATATCAACATTAATCACCCAATTCCCATATAACATAAACTAATATAAAAAATACAAATGGCAGTGAAATGCATGTATTAAACGTCATTCTATTCCCATTTGATACAAAGATATTTCAGTTTTTCCTGAAGATAGTTTAGCACACCATAATAATATAACTGTGTTTCAAGGAACATATATTGTACCACCCTAAATGACCTGTTAGAGGCAAAAGTCCTTAAAATGATATGTTTTGAGTCTTTTAAACCATTAAAGAAATATTGACATGATAATGACCTCCGATGTTGGAAATGCAGTCACTTATAGACTCCGATATTTTAACACGTGAAATTACCAGGTTGGTTAGTCATAACGCAGTGTTTTATATTGAGTGAGGAATTGATATTTGTTATGATATCTTTTGAACATCAATATCTGTAACCAAGCAACTAGGTCTTAAACTCGTACTACCATCATAAAAAAAACAAAATAAGTCTTTTTGCTATTGACTAGGTCACAATCACAATATTTTTGAAAGTAAAATTAGTCTCAGCGATAATAATAGATCTCCATTGACTTAGGTAAAAATTGACTCATACAGTTTAAATATTTTTTTTCAATTCACTTTTATTATTAAAACGATGTCACTATGGTGCCCAAAGGTTACTGTTCACAATTTCAATTGACTTTATTGAAAGATAAGAATAGAGAAGTAATCTTATGAAGAAAATAATTGAAAAATAACAACTTGGGAAATACTTCAAGATTGAAGAGGTTCATTTTTTATTTATTCAACAAGTAAATAACGTGGAACTCAACTTTAAATATTATTTACATCATGATTTGGTTTGATATAAAGATCAAGTGCATGTTACATTTATATTATTAAACAGGGTCGGTGTGGTAATAAGACTAAATATACTCCTCAAAAAAAGTTAAGGACCAGTGGTTTTCCTCATAGGTTTACATGTTAACCCCCATATTTGTTTGAACGACTATTTTCTAAGCAGGGAACAAAAGAAATCCCAATAAAGTAAATAAATCTGTATCTTGATTCTATTCCCTATAAAGTCCGCAACGTTTTAATGTAATATCTCCATTACATTGAGTCAAAATTTGATGTCAAAATTGATGAATTTCATGAAATTTAACAAAAATGGCAGATCCCATGTTAAACAAATGGGGAATGGTGGCTTAGGGGCAACTCAGATTTCGGAATATCTATTCAGTAAAACATTTATTAAAAATACTTTCTAAGTAGAAATTTAAATGATTTTACATGCTAAATGTCTCGCTTATTTTGTTAAAATTAGCGATACGGAGCGTTAAAGTAATTTTGACCACCTCACTGAACCACCTGTGTTATTTCAATAAGAGGATCATTAAAAAATTATTGAATTTGAAACCATTAACTTTTGTTAAGCCTGGACAATTAAATCATATTTTTGTTGAGTGGACAATTTAGCAAATTTAATTATCTCTTACAATTTCAATTTTGAGAGCAATCGGATGGATGGATCGTTCCTCATATGACCTATGGCAACCCAACCATTCCCCATTTGTTTAACATGGGATCAGTCATTTTTGTTAAATTTCATGAAATTCATCAATTTTGACATCAAAGTTTGACCCAATGTAATGGAGATATAACATTGAAATGTTGCGGACTTTATAGGGAATAGAATCAAGGTACAGAATTATTTTCTTTATTGGGATTTCTTTTGTTCCACGAGTAGAAAATAGTCGTTCAAACAAATATGTATTTAACATGTAAACCTATGAGGAAAACCACTGGTCCTTAACTTTTTTTGAGGAGTATATTTGCTTTTGGAACAGTTTTCTATTTTATTTGAGATCTAGCTGCCATGATGACCTGTAACTTCTGAAATAAAAAGGATTTAGATCAAATACTATACTTCTAACTAATTTTACACCCATTTTGATGAATTGGCAAATGAAATAAATTAAAGCCATGCCAATTAATCCATTGATTCTCAAGGAGGATTGGCAGCTATTATTCAAACTCGATCTTTCATTGCCTAGCATGGGACAATTTGGTGACAATATTACCCATATGTTGAAGGGAGTTTTAATTGCTATCATCATCCTCGTTATGTCCATCTTCAAATGAAACATTTTGTCTAATGATGAACTATACAGAAATTATTACTAAATTGTTCCACACCAAGCAATGAAAGATTGAGTTTGAATAATGGCTGCAAATCCTGCTTGATTGATTCTCAAAGAATTTGTTTGATGTACATAATTCAAACTGGCAGTCTGCTAATATGACCTTTTTTAAATTTCACAGTGAACTTGATTAGATATGAATCAAAGTAAACTAAAAAGACAGATTGATAATCAACTAGCATGTCCCAAAATTGTTTGTTTTCAGTCTCTTTGACTAATCACAAATCTGCCAAATTATATTTTTGCCAATTGTTCAGAATTCTCAAGACACCAACAATTCGAATGAATAAATCAAAATGCCAAAATAAGTAGAAGTACAATATTTCCTACTAATGTACTACTTTATTAGTAATTTAATATGCAATCTGCTACAAGTCTACTTTAACCTTACCATAATACTGAAAATATAAACATGTAAATTAGTAAATGTATATCTGATTATAATATAATTTTTGTTTTATATATTGCACATGACTCATTCACATTAAAATTATATACCTTGGTTATAAGTTATTGAATGATTTGAAGTGCAATACAGGATATATTCTGCTCGAGAAATTCTGTATTGGAACGATACAAAGTCGAGTGCCAATACAGAATATCGAGAGCAGAATATATCCTGTATTGCACTTCAAATCATTCTATAACGTTTTTATTGTGTGATCCTCTGTATTGCTACTGAGAATGTTCCCTCCGTACCAATGTTTTCTGTATTGCGACGGAGATGATCAATGGGGACAATCTCAATAGCAATACAGCTTGGTACAGTACAAGAACTGACCAATCAGAAGGCTTCATTTTACATATCATACGATAAATATATATATTGGTATACCTGCTATTTTCTGATTCAAAATAAAGCATAAACACATTGGTGCATTCTCTTCATTTTGAACCTGAAAATAACATGGTTATACGTACATAGGAATATTTTGTGACTTTAGACATGCGCCTTGAGAATAAGGCTAATATTTTATGTCTTATATCATTAAAGAAACATGTATCACAGCAAAAATATTTCTGAAAAACATAATTTACCTGAGTTCCATGGCTCCAAAGCATTCGTACCATACTTAACAGGCTGAAATTTTTCAAAACCGCAACAAACGTAGGATTCTCCATCTTGTAACTGTTCAATATCTGTTACTCTGTGTCCCCCTACTGGTGTATATATTGATCTTACCCCATAGGGTAATGTACTCTGGGTTGGCAGCTTCCCAGTCAAATCATTTAATAAATCATTAAAAGTTAAGTATCTGTGTGGTGTAATATACAATTTCTTCCCTTTAAAGTAGCGATTGCCATTGCAGAAAAATCGAACCCGACGTGGCCGACGTAAGTCTTTGTATTTGTCCCGAGTAACATCTTTATGATGTGTTGATGGGAGACCTTGGAAGTTTCGAAGACGATGACTGGCAATTGTGTCTGTCATACTGAGTTGTTGACGTGGCATAGGCATTGAAACCATATATCGTATTGCTCACATCGTTAGGGTTTACCTGAAAGAAGGCATCATCATTAGATTAAAATATCACATAGCACTGAGCACTGAAATATAAATAATTCATATGTCTCTTCTGTAACCTTGACTAAATTTCGGCATCAACTTATCAAAGCATTCGTCTCCTAAAGAATCCTTATTTAGCTTTTCTACATCCCTTATTCATAAAGACAACAAACAGCACTGTATAAGTTTACATTCAAGAGTTGTTTCAAAGAATAGTAGACACCTTTAAATGATCTTCTTTTCATTTTCTTCTCATAATAAAATAAATTGTCAATCAAAAAATAAGTTAATGTTTGTATTAAGTATCAGTTTGAGACTAATAAGAGAATGAACCGATTCCCTGAAGAAGCACATTGCATGTAGAGATGAAATATATTTTGATTATAAACAAAAAGTAACACTGTGTCAGAAAGATATTGCAGTCTTGTAAAAGATCATTGCCTTCTAGATGAGTATCAGAATGATAAATGGGAGAAATAAATATATAGTTTTGAGGATGATCAGTTCATAATGATGCATATAATTCAGTAGAGGTCTCACGGATACCTGATTTTGGGAATGTACTAAAAACCCTTCGACCTACGACCCTTCGACCCTACGACTTACTGGGTGTCAAGAATTTTTGGAATATATTTTATTGAAAAACCCTTCGACCTCTGATTTCCCAGTCCAGTTTACTAAATGATTACGTATAGTTCCAACTTGAGCTCCCTGTGCACGCAAATACGCATTTTACCTGGTAATTGTCAAGCAAAAATGTTTCAGTAGAAAATGTATATATTCAGGGGGGGGGACATTCGTGGGTTCAAGTGGACCACTCCATTGGCCAAATATTCTCTCAAAATCAGTACAATTTTTCACGATTCTGAGCATTTTCAAGATTTCTGGGCCACTTGAAAATTGTCAAATGTTCACCCCTTGATCCTTTTGAAAAACTTAAATTGGCAAAAGCTGGTTATACGAACCTGATATGACCATGGCCCATGATATGACCTAGCTTTCAAGCTTTTTCTTGACGGTTTGTGTTTATTTTCCTTGTACCCTTGCATGCTTTGGATTTTGTAGGATGCAAAACAAAGAATCTACTTATTTAGTTGGCATTAGATTCTTAACTATACAAATCCAAATTGAATCAAAGTTGATAAAATCAAAAGACGGTTCTCTTTAAACTATATAAAAAATTTGACCTCCTGAAAATATGCATGATGCGCCACTGTTACAATGTGATGGGAAAAGCACAAATATTTTTACTGAGGAGGTAAGAAACGTTCACATTCGATTCGAATGTTCTTGAATACATTAAACCTGCACATCGCTCCAAAACGCAATATGTTGACATATATTGTTTTTACATTTTCAAGCCCTAAAATAAAGTTTATGTATATGAAAAAAAAATTATCTGCGTAATGTCAAAGAACAATCATTTAGTTAAAAAAATAAAAAGGCAAATGCGGGATTCGAACCTGGGCCTCCCGCGTGCTAAGCAAGCATTCTTCCGCTAGACCACCGTGATTTTTTGATGGCGGAAGTAATTAAACGCTACTTATTTTGAATGCTACGATTCGGAAGTGACTTCACGTTCTTCACTTAGAAACCTTTCCAAAATCATATCGCCAGCTCCGATCGAAGTCCAGCTTTAAATATCTTTAACTCTCTTGGGACAGATTCTTAAGTTCTATACACAAAGTAATATTTCCAGCAACTTCATATGGACTGAGAAATATCTAGAAGGTCGAAGGGTTTTTATAAAAATATATTTCAAAAATTCTTGACACGCTGTAAGTCGTAGGTTGCAGGGTCGAAGGGTCGAAGGGTTTTTAGTACATTCCCTGATTTTGTTCTTAACTGCACAATTGGGCTCTCAGATCGGAACATGGAACAAAAATTCAACATTTCGGTTCAGCTCTGGAACAAGAAAATCTTACCTTTTCACAGCATTTGGCCCACAAATTAGCGGAAACAGCATTGTTTTTTCAATTTTTTGCAACATAAGAAGTTCATTTTTTCACTCCTCACTCGAGAAAGATGAGCTTTTCACTTTCTGATAGACCTAGTCAATGAACTTATTCCAATCTTATACACGCAGTCACTCTGTTCCGAAATTGTTCAGTTCCCAAACCAAATGTTCTGAACCAAACCGAACCAATATTTTTTGTTCCATGACACCTCTACAATTTAGTGAATGCTATTTTGATTGGGCAGCTAGATATTTATCAACCATATTCTTGATGCATTCTAAATGGTAATGGCTAGGGTGAAGGGGTGTAACGTCGACACCATTTTGGGGTAACTTCGACATGTGGGGTAACTTCGACACCTTGTTGTTTATTTGCTCTAATTTCCGATCTAGGGGGAAGCCATGTTTTTTTTCTCGCATGGATCGAGATCTCACGAGATTTTAATTTTTCCAGAAATCAAACATGGCGGAAAACGGAAATTCTACTTCTAATACGTAAGTGTCGAAGTTACCCCGTCTATTATCTCAACATTACCCCACACGTCGACATTACACCCCTTTGCCCTAGATCAAACGACTATAAAGAATGTGGATAGAGGCACATCAAACGATTGGAAAGGGTAATTGGATAGAATTCCTAGAATATAGGAGTGCATATAGAAAATAGAAAATGAAATAGATAAATCTTACTTCTTCTTTCGAGGAATACACTTGTTGATGATTTAACTTTTTGATAGAGAAAATATCTGTGAAAGTTTGTAAAACTAATAATCAGTATCTGTGATATACACTTGTACAGTTTAACTAACGTGTATCAAAGCAATTCATTGCCAGATAAGTAGAATTTGAGGTCAAGTTCTTGGTAAACAAAATTGTATACATACATGCTCGCGTAGCATTGTAATTTTATCATAAATGGTGTAAAAGAATGATAAGCTTCAGGTTAACAATAATTTGAAGGACATTTGAGTATAACTGTTTATAACTTTGTTACATTGAAAAGTACTACTATACCAAGCAATGAGCAGTGTTGGGAAATGATCACAAAAAGCACAATGGAAAACATTATAAAGACCACAGACAATGCCAATTAATTAAATAATTGTACTTTCAGCCCTTGTTTTGCCCCTCCCCCTCATCCTCCATTCTCTATCAATGATATGATTGGTGAAATGACATCGAGAGGGAGATAAGGAATTGATGTAAGACAAAGCGATTTATGAAACATCCTTTTGAAAATTTAAGTCTTTGAGGAGTTTCTAAGACTGAAAACGAGAATCAAATTAGGCAGACTTTTGAAAATTATAGTTTTCTGACTTTGATACTTAATAGGATATTTCTAAAAACAGGAATTGTGTAAAAAAACAATAAAGATTAAATTATGTTTCAGAATGTTCGAATGTGTTTGTTCACTCTATTGAAAGATTTGTTTCAGACATAGCATATAGGCTATAGGCCTATTGTAGAATAAACTCATCAACAACATGTATTCTTTTCTGACTTATTAAGTGTTCAATATAGTGGACTGAACAATGAAAATCCCCCTCCCCGACCAACAAAATCCTCGAAATTTGAACACCTGCCAATTTGAACGCTTTTGGCTGGTTCCATGGGTGTTCGGATTAGTCAGGTTTTACAATTATTATTCTATCAAGCAATATTGTCAAAAACAAATACACAAAGTAACAATATAACACTTATAGACATTGTCATAAGCAACAATGTTAAATATATAATTTAACAGCAATTTTGCAACATTGTAGCAGTCCGGGAATATATGAAGAATATTACAATATATATGTATGAATTTGAAGCTAGCTTGGGAAAGTCATTACAGATAAACCATTCTTGTAGAGATTCTGCAGGAAGCTCTGAAGGGGTTTATAGCAAAAGATCTTCTGCTCCTAAAGTTCCCAGGAAATAACATTTTTGAGTGCATTTATATTTTACAGATTCCATGAAATGTACATTCTCTGTCTATTCTTTAAAGAATACCTCATAATACTGTAGTGTACAAGTTAAATGCCAATTTAATTTATTTAGGACAGTTATCAACAAGGCATTACCATGCAAAATGTCACCACCTACCATTTGTAACAGATGTCGAAAGCTGAACACCAACCATCAAACACCAACAACTGTCCACAAAAAGGTTGGAGACAACAATATGTTACCACTTTTGGTAGTGACATAATAAACTGGGATTCCATACGGCTATGAGACTTAAAAGTCTAATATCCTGTCTAGAAAGCCCATGGTTGTAATGGAAGAGAAAAACACGGAGAATATCTTCAAATTGATAGTTAGGAAAGAAATAACATGTGACACAAGTGGTTTAGTTTACAGACAGAGGCATTGATCTTCTATCCAAAGTGTATAAAAGGTGCAATGTAACGTAAATATACACGCACATCATTTTGATCAGCCTATCCAATCAATCCAACTACACCCATGAACAGACATGAACCTGACCCTTATCCGATACCAGGATTATATATTATAGTCGCATTACTCGAGTACCTGAACCAACTAATAAATCAAACCTTGTTTTGAACTTTTTCAAAAATTGAATTTTCTGTATAAAAATTTCAAATATTACTCCATGAGAAATAACGATTTCTGTTTAAAAGATTTTCACAGAACTTTCAGATAATAAATATATATACTTACTCTACATGTCAAGCATGTTAGATCATAAGATTAATCCTTATCTTTGGTTATAAATAACGTAGTTACCGAAGATGATTTACATAGCGATCAATATGGCCGACTTTGAGGGAAGTTAGTGCAGCCTCGTTTTCAACTTGAGCTAATTAGCATAAAAATGCATTGCTTTGGAGAGTAACTAGCAACCACATACACCTCAGTTTGTTCACCTTCAATAGGATTATGATTTATTCAACATTGAAAGTCTATACACTTTTTAACAAAGGATTACTAACACAAATGAAGAATTATTATGTGTTTTCTCTTGTGAAATGGTTTGGAATTGATCCTAATCGAATTTGTAAAACTAAAATGGGAAAATTTTATTAATTGAATTTGGGAAAATAGAAACAAGTTATTTGTATGTTGAACTTGGAATTTAAATACAGATCATGTATGCTAACCTCAATTGATTCTTGGTCTAATCCTAAATAGTTTATTAATAAAAAGAAAACAAGCAATTGTTGTGAAATGGGATTAGCAACTAATTCAATGGTAAATATTAATACTCACACATCAATGGGATTGAATATCTAAAAGTTAGTGATTAGTTCATGGTGCCTAACTGTACTCATACCTGATAGTCTAAAAACAATAAAACGAAGTTCCAAATTCTTCAAGAATTATTTATTTTATTTATTTATTTTATTTCAAACCACATTGGAATACATGGTGCTATGTATGTAAATGGAATAAATAATTGAAATATGTATACACATATGTAGTCATGTACAGTTTATGTGTGTACATTCGAACACTCTTCTAGAGCCCCAGAATTTGACTTAAATTCACATTTTAATTTTACTTACACATAGAAAAATAATATTTATTTTCTTTTTTGTATTTTACAATTGTGTTTAATTGTTAATAATTCTATAAAAATATGAATGGCAATACATTTTCTAGTTTTCAAATGTGCAATTTTATAACTTCTTTTCAGCACAGTCTAACATGTGCAAAGTACACCCCCAAACATGAACTTATTGTTTAATCATCCAAATATTATATGTCATGAAAATTGTTCGAAAAGTAAGTGGTCTTTCCAAAAATGCTGTTCTTTAAATTTTACAATATCTGATTTTCTCGCCATTTCTATAACAAAAATTTCAATTTTTAGATCATCATATACATTATACAATGTAAACTGTAAATAAATTATTTCCTGCACTCCTACAGATCAATTTTAACAATTCAACTTCCTTTTAGGCATACTAGAAAATTAGATTTAATTGTTGATAAGAATTTGTGATGTCATCAGGCATTGATGTCATTTAGGGTACACAATTTATTTTCTGAATTCATAAGTTTTTTCTGTAACAAAACTTTACTAAGTTGATAAAATATGTTTTCTCCATATAAAGTTTAAACCACTTTGGCTTATATTGTAGTCTTACCCAATGTTATCAAAATGTGATAGGCCTATATGAAAATTTGTTTTTAAATTTCAAAGTGTTTTTTGAAGGACTTTTTGTTTGAAAAATCATGAATTTATTTAAAACATGAATGAGTAGCATTCAACCTCACTGGTCTTTTGTAGAAAAAATTAAGAAAATCGGTCCATAAATAAGCGAGAATGAACTCATCCATGCATGAAAGTGGTTCAGAGAAAAATGCATCATAAAATTTTAATTCTCATAGAAACCAATGGAACACAATATATTCTTCTTTTCAACTTTGTTAGACAATCAACATTCATTGGTTTATTTTGAAAGTTAGGCATAATTAGAAAAAAATTGAGTAGATTTGAATTTTTTCCAAAACATTTTTTGCACCCAAAATGACATCACGAAGATGTCATTTAGGGTGCAAAAGTTTTTTCTTCGCAGTCGTGTTAAAAAGTTAAAAGAATAATATCGAGATTATTAACACAATTGAACATATTGAACAACTAATTTACATACTTTTTGTGGCTTAGTTGAATGGCTATGAATCCCAAGTTCCAATATGTGTCTCATCAAGAAGACGATATATATATTAACGCCCAGTTATCAGCATTCCACCTTTTATGTGTTCAGCACTGAATAGAGGAATATTTGATGATTAAAAATTTAAACTTTTATTTGAAAAATGGCGGGAAATTTGAATATTTGAAAAAAAATTCCACAAAACATATCTTTAAACTTTTCTGCACTTGAAAGTTAATTTCCCTTATTTTTTAACTAATCCTCTTAATTTTTTCAACACAAAATAGTGTAAGATGTACAGTATGCAATGATATACATTACTTCTTATTAAAAGATGTGTGTGATAACCAAAATTAAAAAGTTTTCTGTACAAAAATTTCTTTCAAAACAACTTATATATATAACAAAGTTTCACATTATATCACATTTTGATAACATTGAGTAAGACTACAATATAAGGCAAAATGGTTGAAACTTTATAGGAGTGATTTTTTGACCAATTCTTTGTAAAATGACTACAACTTTATCTGGTACAGAATACAGGAAAGATATATTCACTGAAAGAGTTTTTGAAGAGCTACAGTTTTGCTTTTTTCATGTGTAATATAAGAGTTGTCCCAATATCCCTAAAACTATACATGCACAGTAATTTTAAAATTATGTTGAAAATGCACACCACCTTTTGTAACATTCACAGTATTTGCAAAGAATACATGATAGAATCCAATCTTAAGATGTCAGGAACAATGCTCGTGTAGTTTAAATAAATAAAGGTTATCACTCCATCCTATGTTGTATCATTATATATTCAGGTTGGGTCCTTCATGTCACCATGGTGATTGTCATTGATTTGACTCCCAAGATTTTTATTGCTTAGAAAGTCAAATTTGGCGACTGAATTAATCGCTCTGTATATATCAAGAGATCCTAGCTCCTCTGGATAACTGAAATAAGAAATGGACGTTCGTTAATGCATCATATGTTTAAAACATTTTAAAGTCGTATGTAAAAGAAAATTAAATGTTTAAAATACTTCATCAAATCAATTGCTTCAATTTGTAACTCCATCTTGAATTCATGAAATAATTTACATTAAACCAAACATGTTTTTCTATTTGTTCTTTTGGTACATAGACTCAAGAAAATTAGTCCAATAAGGTAATTGGCCTACATTACAAGAGGCACTTTTCTGAAGCTGTGCATCGGCCTAATTTAGTAATTTAAAAAAGTTAACAAGGCATTGGCATGCAAAATGTCACCACCTGCCATTAGTTACAGACACCGACCCCCCCCCCAGATCCCAATCACCATCCACAAAAAGTTGGAAACTATATAACCTTATGTCACCACTTCTGGTAGTGACATAAAAACATATGCATGTATCTGTTTAGCAGTTCCTGATCACTCATTGTCAAGCCCTTTTTAAGATTTTGGAATAAAAGAAAAGAAACATGGCCATGTGGTCTTTTTTCTGAAGAAGACAGCTAACTAAGGCCTTACCTGTTATTTGCTATGTGGATAGAGCATGCTTCCCTGAGTAAGTCATCTGTGAACTGACGAGTTGCCTGAAACAATAGGACAAAATTACACTGTGTTAAGGTGAGTACATTTTATAACTACAACTTGAATTTATTAATTATATTGAGCAGCTCCATCTATATTATTTCAGGCACTCCACGAGAAATCATTTTTTCCCACTTACACGAAAGAAGGTTCATGTTTTAAACTCCTGATCTACCTAGATTACACATCAATTTATCTATGACTCGTAGCAAAATCACAAGCAATACATACATACAAGACAATTATTCTTTTGACGAGTGAGGGGAAAATATTAAAAGAACTGGCTGACATGATAAATTATCTAATGATTGGTAGAGACAGGATCTTATATCAAAGAAACATATGTCATTTCAAGAATGTAGTCTTATTTTCTTAACTTTATTGCTATTTTTACTGTAATTGAAAATTGTAATTGTTGGATGTACATTTGGCCCTAAGAGGGCATCGTACAAATAAAATAAAATCCTTATTATACAGGAATCAGAAAATATAAAGCAATAGATATATTTCATAAAAGGTCTGATACATTGTAAATAGACAATAAAGATTTTGCTCTTGTGAAACAGCATGATTTCAATTGTTGCAACAGAATTCCATACTGGAAAACTGAATTACATTTAAACCAAATCTAAATGCTGAAATATGTATGGTTTATCTAGTGTGCCTCAGTAATTTCTGTTCAACCACCAACAGTATGAAAACACTTAATGTTTCAAGAATTACCGAGAATATCATCTCCTGTACTGCATCTGCACTTATTCCCAGGTCCACTTCCACAGGCCTTATCTCAACACCAACCTGAAATTACAAAAAACAAAATGATCAAATGTTAGGCTACAATATGGAAACTCGAGGAAAATGTTCATTCTTTCATGTCTGTGATGTCCGCATAACATCCCAAAAACCAACCTTCTGAAACATTTTGATAGAACGAGAGGACTATATATCCCATTGAATTTTCTTCATTGGATTAAAAAGGGTATTAATATTGAACAATTTTTCAAATGTTTTCGTCACTAAAACTACAATGAACCTGGAGACCCCAAAAGAAAATCACTACAGCTGTATACCTGGTTTGCAATGTGACTGACTGTGGTGACATCTTTAGATGAAGGAATGTGTTGTTTGTATTCTATTTCATCTTCAGACTCTGGTTCCACTTTGATTTTTGCTGATGGAATTGGGTTACCTGTAAAAATAGAGCTGCATAAATCTATTCAAGTCTCCCTGGACATCCATTTATGTTGGAAGGTCAAGGGCACATTAAAATGTCAAGGTCATATGGCATTATACAGAGTAATATGAGAAAAACTATTGTACTCGTACCTGTACAAGATCGTCCATTCTTGATTCACTTTGACAAAGTCTCTATATATTATCTCATCACAAATGGATGATGTTGCACAGGTACGCATACAAGAACCTCTAAATCTGACTATCCATTCTGACTGAATATTGGCTTGATTTAAGAATCATTTGTTATTTAAAGAGTGTAGGCCCAAGTAGAGCTCTCACAAAGGCCACACATATTCACCTGTGTTAATGATTTCCACTTCAATATCACTGTCACTACCATCATCAATAATTTCACACTTGTCTAAGGCGACATCTATATCCTGTTTGGCACTGTAGCTGGAGAATTCACTGGGAATGGTATCAAAATCTATGGCAGAGAAATATTTTTGTCTTTTTCTTTCTAAAGATTTTCTCAAACCTGAAAACACATAAGACACATAATATAAATTTCTCATTCTCAAATGAACCATTATGGCGAAAGGTCATGCAAGAAATGAAGATAGAGGAATATTAACTCATCAGAGTAGCCCTTGGCACAAAAAACAAATCATTCATTTCATTTTGCTTTGAGTAGCTATTTTATATAAACCAGCAGGGAAGAAAGTCAGGACTTTTCAGACTACAGTGTGGGTCTTAGGATTTTTCTGTCACTCACCAATTATACTGGACTAAATATATCATGTTTTGACATTAATAAGTTATAAATCAATACATTAGGGTTCTGAGAAAATGAGGATTTCAGCAAGGATATTTAAGGGGATATGTACTATTGACTTAACATGGGGATATCATCATATCCCAATGCTATCACCATGGAGATATCATGGAATCCTCATAGTCTTAGAAGAACATTGATTGATTGAGTCTAAACCAGTAAAATTTTGTTACTGGATACGTGTTTACAATTCTAATTGGTTAAAATGGGGGTTCTTGAACAGGAGGTTTTTAGCCTTTCTGAAAATTTTGAATGTGTGAACTACTTTGCAGGCACCATTTACATTTAAATTCATGGCGCTAAGCAGTTGTTATAATTCACAATTGTAATATGATAAATGGCACCCTGTATAGGCAAAATACCCTTCCAAAATAATTTTGAACTTTTGAGGTATTTAGCACATTTCATAGAATAGAATATAGAGAACAAATTGAGAGAGATTTTACACACAATGAAAAATTGTTTAGCTAAATCAGTGGAGGTAAATACCACTATGCTATACAATGCATTGACATTTTGGGAACATTTAATGCAGAGGGGTCACATGTTAATTTTGAGAGATCTGCTACAGAATATAAAGTTGGTCTGATGAATCAACAGAGTTATCTATCTAGAGTATAGTTAACAAATCAGACAATCATATCAAAAACACACAGGTCAACATGATTCATATAATGCTATACATCATCATTATATTTACTATTATTTTACATGCTTCAGCTGAGATAAAAGCTGTCTCTGTTTACACAGTAAGTCAGTACACAGTTCACTCCAGACAAACAAACATATATTGGTGAGTATAACATTTACACACGTATATTGCAAGCATGTCGAGATAAAACCTGTAAAATGTTGAGATGTAACAGCACAGAGTGTTCAGAAAATGAAAGTGCTTTAATTAAATTAAATGAAAAATCATGGTTACAAATAGGAACGGAAGCATACAGAGAGATAATGCAAATACAGATCTCACAAATGTTATGGCAAACCTTACCATTATAATGATATATCCCACAACAACATGTTGAGAAAGATATGGTAACAGAGGTACATTGAAAGAAAAGGTATTGTTCATACTTCATGTAAACTGAATAAACCTAATTTTGCTTGTTTCTTTTTTAGATTATGGCATTTTCACTGTCAGACGCAGTTGAGGCGATGAATTTCTTTATATTCTTTGCTCTACCTGGCAGTTTGTATGATGCCATTGTTCAAGTAATAATCATAGCATCAATACTGATCCTAATATGGTACCTCAGACTGCCTCCAAACCTACCACCAGGACCTCTCCCTATACCCATATTTGGCAGTATAAAGAGAATCCGGGGAGAGCACATGGACTTTCAGTCAATGTATGAGGAATATGGAAATGTAACATCGATGTATGTAAATGAAATGTGAGTACATGTATAACAGTGGCTTGTACCCTACTGAATATTTTATAAATCCTTCTCAATTTCTGTACTGGTATAAATGAGCTGGGTGTAGTTTGCACATTTAAAAAGACATGGTCAAAAGAAAAAACTTTAACTACAGACATTAATGTATTTGGGTGACTATGTCAGGCCTGAAGAGCTCAAATAATGTACAAATTCAAAATGATATTCATTGACAATTATGCAAAAATATTTCTAGGTTGATGGTTGTGATAAGTGGTCCAAGGGCAGTAAGAGAGGCATTGGTACAAAATGCTAATGTGTTCGCAGGGAGACCCCCACACAACTCATTCAATCGATGGAAACTCTTCAGAAAAGGTAAATCATTTTGATAATAACATGTGATTTTATGATACACAATCTTTAGAGACAAATTTGATTTTTGATTTGTTGTATCTATTGTATTTCATAAACCTAAATGCCTTTTTGCGGTTTTCACCATTCTGAGCACTTTTCACATGATTTTCATAAGCCAAAACTGTCAAAAAGCTCCCCCTAACAAAGGCTGCCCCCTTGGTAAAAGAGCTCACCTTCCTGGTAAAATAAATTAGAGATTTGCAATTTTTGTGTCAGCCTGTATAAATCCTAAGGATTACACAACTTGTTTATTATCTATCATGAACCTCAACAAAAACAAGATGTTTTTTTCAATTTACGAAGACCAAAAGAATGTCGGTGGTCAAAAAAAATATGCAAAATATATGTAAAGAGATAGACTTAGAAAAATGTATAATTACTAAGAACCAATCAAATAACAGTGAACGCTGTAACATATGTTTCAATTCCAGCATTTTTTGGTAAGTCCTATACAGAAGAATTCAAAAGAGAAAATAAACTCATGGCCCAGATGATGCGAAACTTCACTACACGCTCGAAATCCTTTGACTCCAAGCTTCAGGAGACAATGAACTCAGCTAAAACCTTCATCGACAAAGAGGACAGCGCCTGCATTAGCATAGACCCATTCTGTAGAATGATAGCTGCAAGTGTAATGTATGCCACAATGTTCAATGAACACCTAGACTGGGAAGATTCACAGAGCAAAGTACAACAAGAAATCAAACTGGTCAAAGATTATTTCATTACAGTTTGGAAAATGGTCGCAATCAATAATATCAAGCTGATTGGTCCAATTATAGGACCAATTGTACGACATGTTCCATTTTTACCCCTCAAGAAACGTATTGATCGTATCACAGCTGACATAGAAAATCTATTAGACAAGAAACTGATAGACCATGAAGAGACTTTGATACCAGATGACCCTAGAGATATTGTAGATTCCCTTCTAATAGAGGCAAGTGATCAACAAAAAGAAGAGACTAAAAAACTATCCATGAAAACAGAACAATTGGAACAATTTCGCTCTCTGCTTGTGATCTTCTATCCCGACCTCCTGGAACAGGTCCCTAGCACACTAAAATGGTTAATTCTGTATGCCGCCCAATTTCAAAACTACCAAGATAAAATATTTGATGAAATCACACAAACCACCGATGGCAATCAAAGGCCTGTGAACCTAGATATGAGAAAGGACATGCCATTGACGCAAGCATTTATACTGGAGGTTCTGCGTCACAGAGGGATAGGTGGTGGCACTGCAGAACACAGTGTCACGGAGCACGGTGTAACACTAAATGGATACAACATTCCGATGAAAGCAAAGATATATTTCAATCTATACTCTGTGTTACACGATGAGAAATCATGGGAGAATCCTAGTCAGTTCCATCCAGAGAGATTTCTGGCCCCAGATGGCTTGAAGGTGACAGTTCCAGACACATTTGCCACATTTGGATATGGTATGTATACAAATGTTAGCACTAGTATTTTGTATCATACAGAGTGCCTTGGCTCAGTAAAGTATTCGTTGGTATCACCAGCATTGAAGTAAATGGTTGCTGCACACACATGAGATTAAAAAAAAAATAGGCTTAAGCCCACCTGCAAAATTATTTGTACTACTTGAAAATAAAAATAATTTACAAGTTAGATCAACTTTTGTCAGGACAAATGCATAGTGTGATTTTTTGCACAACTTGAGTTTATATTGTACAATATTTTTTTCCAGGTCATCGCGCATGCTTGGGGAAACATATGACAAAGATGGCAGTGTTTATAGTGTTGACTTCCCTAATTCAAATGTACAAAATGGAGAATGTCGGTGAATCACCTTACCCTGACAAACTAAAATTTCAATATGGTGGTACCCCTCTTGGTGATTTTAACATCAGGTTTATAGACAGGGAGTAATACCAGAGATGTATTATATATGCGGTACCCTCAAAAATACTACCATCTTATTTTCAAATAACTTTCTCAAATAAGGTAGAATCCTATCCTGTTTGGCTGTTAAAAGGTATGAAAGTATATGAAAAAAGTGATTTCTGTTAATCTCAGTCATTGATAGAATATGACTGCACCACGAAGATCCAAACCATGAAGAGATCCTATCATATTTGAGAAAGTTATTACAAATATTGCACAACTTTTCATCCAAGCAGCTATTACATGAAAATAAAATCAAAATAGTAATGCAACCTAATTATCTGCAAACTGTGCACGAGAGAGGAACATGTAGAGTTTTAATGTAATAAAGACTAATGCATAAAAATTGTGTTGCAATGTTGCATGTATTGTTTGTTAATACTTATCAAACTCTCATATAGATGGCATGAAAGTGGAAAAGATTGTATATATACGGTTCATATTATTGAACAATGAGAAATCCCAAAAATATTTTAGCTTTTAAATGTGTAAAAGTAAAAGGCCAAGTAAAAATGTCAACTTCTAATGAGTAATTTATTATATTAGACTATATGGGGCAAACATGAACACAGGATTGACATTTCAATGTCCCATCAGCTTTAGTGAAGTGCAATAGGCAAGGTGCTACATAAATGTCAGCCAAGTGGCCCAGGGTTAGTCTGGCTACTAGCATTGTGCAGTATGGCAACTGGGTTTACACGGTTATATCTTTAACCATGAGTACTTCCTGGGCATAAATACAGTGGCTTTTACTAAAATAATATGTTTTCTTTCAAGTGAAGTCCCCATGATAGTACAATATCAATCCAACTCTCCAAAAATTATGGTTTAGGGCCCCACCTTGGCACTTTTTGAAAATGTTAGACTTATTTTCGAAAAAGAGGATCTTGTTTTTCTCAATTTAAACATATCGAAAGTTCTGCACTTTATTAACAATTTCTGAAAAGGGGATGGGTATTGAAATGTGTTAAAGTTAAAAATCACATATCCCATGTTATTTTCCCATTGGGAAAACTAGTGCTATCCATTCTTTTCAGCATAATTTTGGTCATCGAAAATTGATATCTTCAAAACTAGACTTTCAATACCATTTTATTTTTGAAGAAGTTTTAGACCCCTTGTTGAATGATTTTTTCATGCAATAAAAATCAGAAAAAGAAGATCCTCTTTTGAGTACATAGATTCAACATTTTGAAAAAATTGTTGATATGGGGTCCCTATTCATAATTTTTCGAATTGTTCGATTGATATTTTTATCATCATGTGTACTTCACTTGAAAGAAAACATATTGTTTTAATAAAAACCAACGTATTTATGCCCACAAAGTACTCATGGTGAAAGATATGACTGTCTTAAATCACTTGCCATACTGCACATGGACCTTTCTGGGGTCACCCATCTTGAAATAAGATCTTCGCCTATTAAACCATGTTTATGAGAATTCAGATATCAAATATGAACACAATCGCTCCACTACTTTTCAGCAAGAATAGTAAAATATTGTGTAACGGCCACCATTTTTCAAGATGGCCACCGGTTTTTTAAAATACAATTAAATTTTAATTCATATCATGCCTAAAATACTGGATCCAGTGGCCATTTTGAAAATCAGCTTTCAAGCAAACTTACACTCACATGGGGCATATACTTATAAAATGTAAATGATATTGTACCAATGGTACCTTTTTTAAGTTATTGACCGTAGAGGTGTCTTACGTATGGATGGACAGACAGAGGCATTCTCTATATCTCCCTAAACTTCTTTTGATGAGATAATAAGCCAATGGCGAAATAGCCCCATGGTTGAAATATCACCATGCCGAAATAATCTCATATGTCAAAGTTTGAAGCATTTCCCCTAAAACTTTATTTATTTGTGTTAATGCCACTTTCAACAGCTTCAAAAGCTACATAAAAATGTATTAAACTTCACCTGATAATGTGAAATAAAATGTATACAAGGAGATAAAATTCTGACTCATATGACGTATTTTGTAATACAAAGCCACAAATATGTTTCACTAAAAAAACAATGTTGAATCAATTACATGACCTGATAAAATCAAACTAGACATAAACTGCAATAAAAAATGGTCAAGCATATTAGCCTTGTATGTTAATTTATTCAGGCCACCAGGTTAAAGCAGTTAACACCATTGAGGTGTCCTAAGGGTTTTCCCATCAAATGAAAGCAAGTCAATAACAACTTAAAGCCGGCAATGAAATGCTCGTTGGATTAAAAGGTATGTATACTCACGAGGTCATTGTGATATGAGGAAATGTACTGGTAAAGAATGGTGATCACTGAGTCACTTACAAACGATTTGATGTCATACAACTCAACTTGGCATTTTAAATAAAACCAAAAAATAAATAAACAAGGAATAAATAGGAAAGTTCTGACATTCTTTTTTGACCAAAAATAATTCAGGCAATGATTATTATTATCCGAATATAATATATAATCAAATGAACAAATGGATGGGCACAGGGTGAAAATTCTATCATAGTACTGGAGAAAGAACTAAGGGAATCTGACAGGTTAATAGTGAGCAGGTAGACTAAGGTACAAAAAACTGGAAAAACTGAAAAACAAAATATTGGTAAGTGTACCAACTTGAACTCTTGTTTCGTATATTAGTGTAGTTTGTAACTTCAGAACCACAGAATTCAATTCAAAAGATTTTTGTACTGTATGTATGTTACAGTTATAGTGCACACGCAGACTGGTATATATTATGTACATCCAATAATTCTAAAGATGAACTTCTAATACTGTATAAGTGGTAATTTTGCCTAATCATTTAATTTTCCTATTTCCTAATTTTTGCCAGGTTCGAAAAATTAAATGTCGGAAATATTGTCTTTATAATGTTATTCAATGGGAGGTTTCTTGTCATTAGGAAAATTAAAATTAGGAAAATGATGAAATTTGACCATTCGGAAAATTAACCACTCGGATTAAATACCACTTATACAGTATGTCAAAGGAATGCATTTATGGATTCCATGCAAAGGATGTGTTCTTTTTTGAAAATGTAATATTCCAGTCAACATTTTACAATTTAATGTAATACTGATTAAAATGATTAAAAACACCATCATAGTTTTATTTCATAAAAACAGTCCGAAAAAAACCAATGAAACCACTAATAGTCTGTCATATGAAACACTTTAACTTCATTAGTTAAAGATTGATAACCTTTGTCACAATGATATGTTACAGTATAGAGGTTTATGTTATTTGGGTCAAAGTGTCCTTTTGCATGTTTTGTTATGTTCATTTAGACATTTACAAATGATTAATTTTTCAAATGATATACTACCAGTAGATTTGAAGAAAATATAATATAGAACATTATTCTTTTATTTATGTATATACTTAGAGGTTATGTCACTATGACGTGAAATATGCCTGAGTTCTCCCAATATAGGCCGACCTTGGGAGGCCCTATATTTGGGCAAGAACGAAGGCATATTTCACGTCATAGTGACATAACTGATGTATTACATGCCTTTGTTCCCATGGTTACTTTGTATCAATGACGTGACGTCATGATATTATCATGGTTATTAAAGAAATCTAATATCAAAACGAGGTAAGCGGGCTATATCGGGGTAATCGGGCAATATCGGTGGATATAGCTCGCTAACTTTCCCATTGACTTCCATACAAATGCTTCGCTAGGTATGTAATACATGTAAATATATCTTTTACTGACATCAGCTTACAATACCGTAACATGATTACATAAGTCTACTGTGAAAAAAATACATGCCTAAAGTATAAAGATTAACTGAATAAAAAAATAAAAAATATTAAATACAAAACATACTATGTGAGTTTATGAACATGCAATGAATTCTTACAAAATTTAATTATAGAGGAGTTACTACATTACAATCCATCAAGCCCTTATAGGGTAAAAACCTGATATGAACCTTTTTGGAAGGTCCAAGAAATCTCGTTTGAGTATACCATATCATACCTGCCAACCTACCGTATTTTTACGGGAATCTACCGTAAATTTTTCGTTTTTCCGTAAAAAAATGACAAACTACCGTAAAAGAAATACCATTTTTTCCCGTAAAAACGCCCGTAAAAAAATCTACCGTATTTTTTTCGAAATCTACCGTAATTTTTTTTTTAAAAAACTCGATTATTCCACGAGAAAGGCCGTAAAATCGACCGTAAATTTGTGAAAATCTACCGTAGATTTTCGAAAATCTACCGTATTTCTGCTAAAATCAACAGTATTTTTGTTCAAACTACCGTAAAATTTCCCGTTATTGTTGGGAAATGCTGAAAAATTGAAGTCTTCCTGTACTGTCCCTGTAATATTCCTTCACCAACCCGAATATAAATAGGTATCGGCAGGTCTGTGGTTATCAGGTTATTGCGCATTTATCTAAGTAAGCTTGCGTGTAATCAGTCCAAACACCAACTACCAAGGCTAGAAAGAATTCTTTCTGCCATGAGTTTTGTAGTTAACCAAACCCTTTTGTACACAGATCTTTATTCCGAATGCAACAAAAATATGATTTTAGTTGCTCTTCATCTAAATAAATGAGTGGAAATGACAAAAACTATTTGTTTTAGCGTATGAAATATGCGTAGTTTGATTTGTTATGATCAGTAATGAACGCCAAATATACATTATACATAGTTTAATCAATTTGTTTACAGTACGATAAAATGTTGTATTTTTCCATCAGAACACATTATATCAGTAACAAATACATATTTAAAAAATAAAGCATTGAATTTTGGTTCATTATAAAAGTATTGTGGTATCCGAATCTGAACGATGTCTCAGGGGAAAGGTTTCAGCAAATGCTCATAACAGATTATTTTTGAAAGACAATTGATCTGTACTTATTTTCTATTTGTGCCAGACAAACACATTGATATCATTAGAGACTTGCGAGTGAACAAATCAATATTTAATACCATATGATTCCAATGTTATATGAACATTATGTCTGTCATTTCAATTCGTTAAAGTGATAGATCATCTAAGATGGTGAGTAAAAACTTGCAAAATCCATATTTTGTATTTCAGTAAATGTTTCATTGGTATTTCCAAACATCCTGATATCTAAAAAAACTGGTTAGAAGGTGAATGAAAGTGGAGATATGAATATTGTGTTCGTATTTTGAATCAATCTAGATTTATTGTAAAAGAGTTGTAAAAGAGTTGTATTCATATACATGTACATTTTGCTGAAACATTAAAATCCAAAGTTGCTGTCAGTCCATTGTAGGCATGGTAAATGAAGAATAAAAAGTGTTAAGTCTCTATTTATTCTTGAAAATAGTATCTATTTTTCTTGAAA